TTGGCTGGAGTCGGTGATGCCACCCAAATACACGAAGCATATACTAACCATATAATATCAATAAAAAATATTAATGAAACAAAATGATGATGTAAATGCGCCAAAAACCACCCTCAGGTTAACACCGGTCATCATTTGAATGCGGCTAACACACCAGAAACGGAAAGGAGTAATAATATGTATCAACATAAGAAAAGAGTGACGTAACAAAACAGTAAATGATTTTACTAGTCAGTATCGGAAAACTCCACTCAAAAAAATGCAAATATATTGGGATCATTCATTAAAAATTTTTCTTGGGATTGCAGGAGATCAGAAATAAAAATGAAATCTGCAAAAAGATATAAATGATGAGGTCAATATCCGGCTAAGCCTCATTCATGTCGACTAAATATTTAGTAGGCAAAACCAATAAAGTATAAGTTAATTTTTGAACAGGAAGAAATACGAACATGAATTATTATGTTCTGCAAGATTAAAGCAAAAGAGGAACAGAGAAAGTTACCCAAGTTTTTCGTTGTAGCCTGCATGTATCACTCTGCATTCGCTTATGAGAACTATAATGGATATTGACAGCACAAATGATAACGTATAGCTTTATTAGAACTTTGATAGAGCAAGCATAGCACAGTCTGAACACATTGCTTCGCTTCAATTATCGGAATACTCTGAATCTCAGATAAATTCTTATCCTTACAAGGAATAGCAGAGCATTCGTAGTCTGATAGTATTGCGGAGATTGATGACGATCTAGTGAGGGAACGGTGTTCGAGTTGATGGATAATTGAAACGACAATTTTAGAACCGAAAAAAATTAAAATTTACACTTGGGGTTTTCTAGTTGCATTCTAAAATTCAAGAGGTGTCTATTTTGCCCTCCTGTTTTCCACAACAGCCGCATCATATTGTCCGACTCGTCACTGCAATGAACAGCTTACATGCCATGTCGGATTGTACTATAACTTCTCCCAATAAAAAAACACAATTCTGAAATATTTTCGGAATGCCAACTTGCATATTTTGCTGGTGAATAATTCCAAAATTGGCTCATATTTTAGATAGGAGGATGTTATTCCTACCAGGATACTGACTTGCCTGGTTTATTAATACAGTTGTGCGCGTTGCGCATCAGCGTACGTCGGAATGACGTCATGTAGCTACTACTTCAAGGCTTAGAAAACCGCGGCAGGGATTTTCTGTCACTCTCTAAGCTTTCTCACTCTGCTGTGCGCCTTTACGCTGAATAGCACGACGTTAATGACAGCGATTTCAACATACTCGGTTTCACCTCTGGAGGTTCTGATTTGAGAATTGCTGAATTTTTTCATCCTCTTGCCATTTCAAATCTTTTTTATCCCCTTGCCATTTCAAATCGATAGGTTTTGATGTTCCTTTCGTCGTTTTCTCGTTACTTAGACTGTTTGGGGTTTATTTAGAATTTCACTCCTAATTGTACCTGAATTATATAACATTTTTTTGAACTGACGATGGAGGTGACCTCCGATACTGACTGAACGTACGTCGAAATGACGTTCAAAACATGTCTTTGATTTGCCTATTTTGGTTTTAACTTCTGTTTTTTTATTATTCTGGCTGAAATAACTGATTTTTCTGTATTTAAAATTTCTGAAATGATGAAACAGAAGGGCTTTGAAACGATTTCTATAGAAATATTATGAATTCATATGGCTTATTTGTCGCTTTTAAATTCCTGATGAAGCATCATGTTACTGCGACGAGATGTCATTATTGTTCATATTGACTTTCATTTGCTTCAAAAATTAGTTCCTGAAATGAAAAGATGTCTTGATTATTTATAAGTTCGAAAATTTGCATCTACTAAGTTTTATAACCATGCACTGACATTCATCTGTCTCCGGAGTAAGAATTTCTGCATAAATTCCAGACAGAAATCAAACAGCTTACACAAAGTAAGCATCTTTGTTTAAGCAAGCATTCATCATGGCCATAACTAATGTTTTCATTTATTTTCAGTGAACAACGGACGCTGCTCTACCGAGGAACAAATCATGGAAGTTTTGTTGAACATGTGCCCTCGTAACGACAGTGAAAGTAAGGCTTCCTTCATTCTATTTTTAAAAAGACCATGCATTAATCTTCACTTTCAACTGCTGCTGGATTAAATGAGCTCTTCTAAGAAATTTTTTTTATTGCATTATGAACCTGCTACTTTTAAAGGACGAAATATAATTTATTATTGGTCCACTATTTTTACAATGAAATAACAAGCAAATAATATTACAGGAAAGAAGTCCGGATAAAGGATGTAGACATTTTACGTTGAAGTTTGATGTAATATGACTAATTTCCGACATGACTGACTGGCATGTTCCCTGCAGTGTTTTTGCTCAATTGTACAATTACCTGCGTAAAATTGCAATTTACGATGCATGTAAGTCTCTATACTGCCAAAACTTGTACTTGACGCCCATTTTTACAAAGGAAACGCATCACATAGTGACATAGTGAACACTTTCGCAAAGTTTGTAGTTTGAATACAGTGAAGTTTACAGCAGCGACATTCTGTTTGGGCTACAAATAAAAAAAAAAAGACTCCTTAATAAGGGAACTTCAAATTATTCGTTATACTTAGGCCTATTCTCGTTAATTTGATTAATTTATTTATTTTTCGAACAGGCTGCAAAATGGACCTGCAGTCCTCCGGCCTGCACTCCGCTCAGCAGTCTCCGCAATACATCGTGAGTCTCTTATTTATTATCAAATTGATGCAATTAACTTAAAATAAAAATAGGCATGCATTTTATTTCTGACTTACATTTACAATTATAAGTGTTAAGCGTACATTAAACTCTACTTGTGTTAAAATTTATTTGCAAACTCTTCAACTTTCCACGCTCGGGAAATTCTAAGAGAGTCGCAATTTTCGCAGGTTCCTTCCCCGAACCACCCGAGCGCCTCCCCCAACAGCAACAGCAACCAGAGCTTCTACGGCACCTCGAACGACGCGCACAGCATGGACGCCTCGCCCTACCTCCAGGTATTGATCATAACTTGTCATGGTTATTATGATTGTGATTTCCTGGAGTATGTCACGGGAAATAATGTGTCTGGATACAGCAAATATTTGAGCAGTTTTGATATTAAGTCAAAGTTCATCTATGGTTTTCATATATGACGATCAAGGTACATGTGAGTTTGCACGGTCTCGATGTTTGAGGCCTGACTTATTTAGTTACCCTTACAATATTGCGGGAAATTTTTAAAGCCCAGTAAGTGTAGCCTAAAGAAAATGATACCATCATGATTGGCGATATGGAAGTGCACCTTGCCTCTTCACGTGAAAAAAGAGATATTGGGTTTTACTTTTCTTAATACAGATGAAATCATAGCCGATGGAAGTTCAGCATTGAGATTATAACAGATATATAAGATGAGGGTTTAGTTAATGAATGCGTGTGACGAGTTAACGCGGGGGTGAGGGTGAGGGGGTGCCGTTAACGGGGGGCGGTGCCCTTGTGCTTGTGGTGTTGTCCTCGTCGCCCCTCTTACATGTGCCCTCACCTCTCAACGTAAATACCGTCCCAGCTCTTGTATAAATTTATTCAAACTTACAAAACACACAAGAAATTTGTTATTAATTGGTTAAATTTCAACGAATGATATAATTTTAAAATTGGTTCAATAGTTACATCTAAGGATAGTCAATTAGACGGGCTTGAATATCTTCGTTTCACAACAAACGACGCCCGTGCGATAAGATGTATTCAGTGCAGTTGATAAAATATAGACTATATAGAGTTCCGGTGCAACATATAGGTTTTATTTACTGTTTACACGTTACAGAATTGCGAGTTAATTTTTCTCGCTGCAATAACTGATTAATGTCCGGATGACCGTACTTTTCATCCCCTTTACGGAGCAGCGCGTTCAGAGACCTTTTGTTTATTGTTGTCAGGTCTCAAGTGTTAGGTCTTAATTAAGCTACAGGTAATGACGAGAAGATGTGGTTTAATTTCATGGGAACAGAGATGCTCAGACCAGGTATTTATGTTCATCATTCTTTCGGTTCTAAGATGCTACGTAGCATAGTTATAGATGCTACGTAGTATAGTTATAGATGCTACGTAGTATAGTTATACAGGCTACGTAGTATAAGGTGCTTATACACGGGGCTATTAGTTGCGTCTACTAGGCGAGGCTACTAAAATTTGTGATGCTTGACGTTGTCAGAGGCAATTAGATGGTTCATTGCAGGCAAGGCAACTTGAGCTGTTTTGAAGCAGTCTATTGCGCCCAGTGCCAGTAGCCGCCCGGCCGTCATACAGAGCACAGCTGCGTCGCTCCTCTCTCTTCCACTGTAGCGCGCACTGCTGTCTTGCTCTGGCATGCCTCTACCGTGCACACCCTTACTCGACAACTCTCAACGTCGCACTGACGCGGGCGCAGTGTACGGAAAACACTATACTCGTGTATAGGCTCTCAGCCTGCAAAACTGTAGTAGACGCAACTAATAGCCCCTCGTATAAGCACATATAATTCGTTTAGTTTTTTTGCTCCTCAGTTCAAGTGCTTAAATTCGTTTTTTCTGATTATTCACAGGTTTCTTCCCCACAGTACCAAGTGCCATCCCCGCATTACCAAGTGCCATCTCCCCAGCAGTCGCTGCAGCCCCAGAGCGCGTCACCAGGCTACCAGATGCAACAGTCTCCCCAGTACCAGTTCGGCAGGTTCACGGACCAGACGGTACCTCTGTCACCCAACCAGCCGATGTCGGGCGACTCTCTCATTAGCAGTCCACAGATGACCAGCAATATACTCCAGCAACAGCCGCTGCAGAATCAACATCAACAAAACATTCCTCAGATTCAGTTCCAGGCGGATTTATCCCTGCCAATGCTACAGCAACAACAGCACACTATGATGCAACATAACAGGATCAATTCTCTACAACTACAGCACAGCAACGTGAGTTATTGCGAGATGTCGCTCGTTTTTCTATAATTAAGTAATGTATTTCATAAAACCATCGTGTCTTACCGAAACATGAAAACATTCTCTAGCGATAGTTTCATATTTATTGGATGTGTGTGTATAATTAATGTATATTCAATACACAATTATTATTACCGTATATATAATAAATTATACATTTATTGTGTATAATTTAGTTAAGACTTGTGCTGCATCGTTCAGGTGATGTCGCTTAACGAGCCAACCATTCCCTCGCAAAGTGACCCCGACATTACGGTAAGCTGATTAGTTTTTTTAATTATTGTACAGATACACTATTGATCTAGTGTTTAGTTTGCCATTGCAATTAAAAATGAAAGAAATCTATCACTAATATCGCGTTCGTTGCATTTATTTCTTTATCATTTAATTTATATTTATTTGCTTACACATACTTCTGAGTTACGAGCATTTCCCATGTTTTGATCGTAAATCTTCGAGGTGGAAATGAACCAAAAACCGTGTTTTAATAGTATAATCAATTTCAGAGAGAGCGAAGCGGGGCAAGAAGTAGGGGAAATGTATAACTAAAAAATCTAATGATGAAATGTCGTGAATAATTCGCCAAATATTTTTTTAAGGTATCGGAAGGCAGTCTGTGGGATTTCAGCAATTTGGTTCAGAGTACAGCGCCTACAGGACTGGACGACTTGGACTTCCCAGACCCCATCTCTCTAGACACCATCAACCCAGACCTCTTCCCTGGCTCAGACCTGCGCACTGACGGCGTGGTTTACAAACGTAAGATCTGATAATCTTGTGCCTTTAAAAATGTTCTTATATTCAAGCAGTCAAAGGGAAGTTAAATGAAGATTTACAGAAGACTGATGTAATAGAAGACTTACTATGCATCCGTCTAAAAGTTATGTGAATCAATAAAGAGATCAATAGTGGAATATTTTTTGAACAGTTCTTGTGAAGGATGTAATATTTATGCTTTTCTGTTAACAGAAAAATCAGTGAAGAAGGAGGCAAGCGTTGCGTCTCTGACCGAGTCTCTTGCTCGTGCGTCCCTGGCGAGCGCCGACACTGCAGCAGGCGAGGAAAAGGTCGCGTCAGAGACAGCGAAGGAAGAAACCATCTCAGGTCAGTTCTAGAATAGAATAGAAGTGTCGGCACTAAAGAAATAGGCCCATGGCCTGTTGCCGATTCTTGTCTTTTCGTGACTTGATTCACAAGGGATCCAGCCTTTGGAACCCGAGCTTTCCATAACTGACGATTGATTGAGATAGCTGCTGGACTTATTGCCTGGTCCGTAATNTCGAATTTATTCATTTTCAGCGTTGTCAGCTGCACCTGACAATAAAATAAGAGACATCAATGCAGCACCTGTCTCTTATACACATCTAGATGTGTATAAGAGACAGCTCCTAGGACATGCAGGGTGACAAGTCAGTCTCCTAGGGCAATGCAGGGTGACATGTCAGTATCCTATTACATGCAGGGTGACAAGTCAGCCTCCTAGGACATGCAGGGTGGCAAGTCAGTCTCCTGGGGCCATACTTTCAAAACTCGCTAAGTGAACGTAAGGACTTGGGCTCTATTTTATTGTCTATTCTTGGTGGATTTTGCTTGAAAGGCCGTCAATGATTGGCTGATGAACTTACGATCTCTTAACTTTTTTTGAAAGTATGGCTCCTACACGTCAGAATGCAGAATACCTCGCATATGCCTGCTAATGAATACAAGCGAAGAAGATATAAATACCACACAGTCATCCAACAATACTTCTGATGAACATGTATTCAATACCATACGCCATGTTATAGGAATGCTCCTCACAAGTTATTGTGTCGGTTTCTAGAGACGCTCTTTTCCTATTTGTGGTGTTGAGTAGGCCTAAAAATGTCAGTTAATTGTCGGGCAGGTAATACTTTTAAGTACTTTTTTTAAACAAAAGCACCTCTCAGGGGGGACTTCTAACGTGTGTCTGTGCCCGTTAGAAGTCCTATGGGATTTCGCGCTCCTAGGGGGATTGTTCCTGAGCGCCCCACCGCTGAGCTCGCGGTGTCTGACTGCAGGTCTCAGTTGTGGGGTTAAGTTATTACTGTCTCTTATACACATCTATGTCATTATTGTTCATATTGACTT